AAAAAAAAAAAAAAAAAAAAAAAAAAAATGCCCAGACTCTATGTGTCCCCTCGTTTCTCATTCTTTGAACAGATGTAGGGGCGGAGTTTTCCAGATCCCATGTGACATGTGATGTCGCAACAGACCGAATGCAGCGATGGGAGAACTCGGCCGACATCCACTAAGCCAGGTCAGTAAAGAGGTCCAGAGAACACGTAAAACGGTACCACTCTTGTCGCCAAACATTTTTCGTTTGGTTTGGGAAAATAAAGTTATTTTTCAATAATTTTTTTCAACTTTGAAAAAAGTATATTCTTTATGTTAGTATGTCAGTGGTCTATTACTGTTCTCTTTAAAACGAGTTAATAAATTAATACTATGGCATTTTTCTCGGTTTTCATTCCCAACACCGTACACATCAACAGACAAAATCTATATAAACAAAAACTCTTTGGGACCCTCAATAATTTTCAAGAGTGCAAAGGGGTCCTTTTTGTATTTTAAATTAAAAATTTTTTTTTTTTTGGCCACACGGCACACAGGATCTTAGTTCCCTGACCCGGGATTGAACCCACGCCCTCGGCAGTAAAAATGTGGGGTCTTAACCACTGGACCACCAGGGAAATCCGCCAAAGGGGTCTCGAGAGCAAGCAGTTTGAGAGATGCTGGCTTAGAAGGTGTAGCTCAAGTTCGTCCAGGTCCCAAGGTAGCTCATGTCTGACCACGGGCCATTCGGCCTTCGGGTGCCTTCTGAGTCCCATTCAGACCCCACCCTGTGGCCCCTGGACTAAAAGCTAAGGCTCCAGCTACAAGGCAAGTACAGACAGAAATTCGGGCTGATCTTGAGCGTACGTCTCAATCCACAAGTGCCCAGAAAGCCCAAGGACACCAGCCTTATGTGGGGCAGGGCTGCTCAGAGGAAGAGCCTGACCGTTCACCCCCCTTGCCCCCGACCCCAGAAGAGCTGTCTCCCCCCGATCTCCCTTGTCCAGGAGAGACCCATCCCCGAGGTCGGTGGATGGGGGAAGCAACGACCTAGTCCTGGGGCTTCTCCACGGCTGGGTGAATGCCCCTCTCGAGACGTCCCCAGACCTTCCCGACACCCCGGCCCGGGAAGCTCACCCGTCCCGATGAAGTAACAGGTCTTGTGCATCTTGCCCTTGAAGAGCTCCAGCCCGATGATGGCGTAGATGATGGCCATGAAGAGCACAAGCAGGGCGATGCGGAACAGGGGCTGCATGGCCTTGAAGACGGAGTTGAGGACCACCTGCAGGCCTGGGGGCGTGCGGGCAGGGGGAGGAGGACGACTTAGCCCCGGTCTCCTGGCCCCTCCCTCGGAGCCTCTGCCACACCAGGGTAGGAGGGGGCCCAGGACTGGGGCGAGGGGGAGGGGCTCTGCCACCCACTGGGCACCCCGGACACCAGCCGGAGCGGTCTGAGCACGCGGAAGGCCCTCAGAGCCTTGACGTCCAAGCCGGCGCCTTTGCTGCTCATCGGGGCTGTGTTGCTCTGGATGACGTTGACCTGCTCCAGAATCACGGTGAAGACCCTGAGGAGGACGAGAGGGGGAGAAGGCGGCCCAGCGGGCAGCTAAGCCTCTGGCCCGGGGCTCAGGGGCCCCGTGTCCCAGCCATGCTCAAGGTACCGGTGGAAAGACTGGGGGAGGCGGCAAGGTACGGTTCATCAGCCGCTAGCAGCTCTGCTTTGGTGACGGCCATCTGGGGAATTTTGGAAAAAATCCTGAGGCCACGTTCAGGCTCAGTAAGAAGAGTGTCAGGTCCTGGAGGGGGCTGAGATGCTGGTGCCACGGGCAGCTACGGTCAGGCCGGGGGCTGAGCACACCCCGTGGTGGGTGGAGGGTTCCAGCAGCCCACACTCGCGGTCGGAGGAAGGGGGAACGCGGAGAGAGCCCGGAGCTGGTCCTCCCTCGGGCTCTCCTTCACTGCGTTTCTGACAAAGCCCCTTTTTGGTCCTTCCTGCTCTCGCGTACTCAGATTGCCATTATCCTTTGAGGTCTATCTCAAGTCCTTCTTTAGGAATCCTTCCGTTGACATCTGAACCCCCTGGGCTGCACCGCGTGTGAAACAACGGGGCGCTGTGTGGCCTTGTTCTGCACAGACTCGTGGCCTCCAGCCAGGCAGTCTGTCAAGGGCAGAAGCTGATTCACAGAATTCTCTTTGCCCTGTTGTGCCTAAAGCAGCACTGGGCAATTAGTAGATAAGCAATATAATTTTTATTGAGTGGGAGGGCAGCCTAGTGGTTAAGAGCAGCCTCTGGAGCGAGAGTGCCTTGGTTTAAATCCTGGCACCGCCACTGGCTGGCTATGTGACTTTGGGTGGGTTGCTTGACTTCTCTGCGCCTTACCTTCCTTAAATGGAGAAAATAAGAGGATTGCTGGGAGAATCAAAGGAGATGGTACATGTTAAGCACACAGTAAGTGTATGATAAACGCTGCTGTTATAATTAGGTCGTGGCTACCAAATCTTATGTTATGGGCTCAACCATGCTCCCCCCCACTGCAAATTCGTACGTTGAAGCCCTAACTTTTGGGGCCTCAGAATGTGGCAGTATTTGGAGATAGGACCTTTAAAGCGGTGATTCAGTGAAAACGAGGCTGTTCAGGCGGGCCCTAATTCAATCTGACTGGTGTCCTTATAAGAAGAGGGAACTTGGGCGCACACCCAGGGTGCGTGTGGTTGGAGGAAAGACCATGTGGGGACACAGCGAGAAGGCGGCCGTCAGCAAGCCGAGGAGGGAGGCCTCAGGAGAATCCAGACCTGGCCACACCCTGATCTTGGACTTCCAGCCTCCAGAACAGTCAGAAAATACATTTTTGTGGTCTCAGGCCCCCAGTCTGTGGCATCTTGTTATGGCAGCCCAAGCAGGCTCAGACAGGTTATTAAACATCTGTTCTCATGGACCCAAATAACAGGTGCTCAACACATGTCCATGGAATAAATGAATAGATGATAATAAAGCATGAGAAATTTATGAATGTCCAGAAACTGCTCGGCACTGGAGCCACTCACACGTTTCCAGTTTTGTGTGAAGAGAATAAGGAGGGAATTCCCTGGTGGTGCAGCGGTTAAGAATCCGCCTGCCAATGCAGGGGACACGGGTTCGAGCCCTGGTCCTGGAAGATCCCACATGCTGCGGAGCACCTAAGCCCGTGCACCACAACTACTGAGCCTGTGCTCTAGAGCCCGTGAGCCACAGCTAATGAGCCCACGTGCCACAACTACTGAAACCTGTGCGCCTAGAGCCCGTGCTCCGCAACAAAGAGCAGCCCCCGCTCGCCGCAACTAGAGAAAGCCCGCGCGCAGCAACGGAGACCCAACGCAGCCAAAAATAAATAAATAAATAAATTTATTTTTTAAGAAAGAGAGAGAGAGAATAAGGAGACTGGCGGTGCCTGGCTGGGGAGGGTGTGAGCCGCGGGCGCCCCCGCCGCCCCCGGCCCACACCCCTGCACCGCTGCACCTGCCTCCGGGCCCTCGGGCAGCCCGCTGAGCTCAGCCGCACCCCCGGGCCTCACTCACCCCAGGAAGACGATGATAAAGTCCAGCACGTTCCAGCCGCTGCGCAGGTAGGCGTCCTGGTGGAACAGGAGGCCGTAGGCGATGATCTTCATGGCGGCCTCGATGGAGAAGACGATGAGGAACAAGAGCTCCAGCTTCTCCTGCGGGGGGCGCAGCAGTCACACCACGGCCCCCCCTCCGCCCCCTGCTCCGCCGCTCCGCGCGCGGCCCACCGCGGCCCGCGCCGCCAGCTCCCTCCCCCTCCCCCCCACGCCGCGGGTGGTCCTTCCCCGGGGGCCTCTGCTATTTCGTGTTCCTCCTCCCACTTTGTCTTCTTAGCTGATCCCTAGCTGGAAATGCCACATATATTTCTGTCTGGTTCGTTTCCTACCTTACGCACTACAGTATACACTTCATGAGGTGTGGGGGGGGTTGTTATTTTTTTTTAATGACTTCACTTCTCAGGCCTAGAACTGGACCAATGAATGAACGGTCAGGGCAGCCCCCCGAGTGGAGGCCCCCAGATGGCTCCTGTTTGGGCCGCTTTCTCCTCCCTCATCCCGAGGACTCACAGTAGCAGGTTGGGGGCAGTCCTCGGGACTCCAGCTGCGCCTCCCGGCTGGTCAGGGTCTTACCTCTCATGTACTTTTCTGTAACCCCCGGCCCACCCCAGCTGCCCACACCCGCTGCGGCCTGCAGGCAGCCACTTAAAGGGCACAAGCACCGACAAGCCGGGCGGGTGTCGGGGGTCACTGTGCCTGGACGAGGCCCCACAGCTCGGAGGACAAGGGCTTCGGCTAGCGCCCCCTGCAGAGGCCTTGCCCACTCCCCCAGGCCCTCCCCTCTAGGCCGGCTCTCTCAGCCTCCCATCCTGGCCCGGTCACCCCGCCCCGTCCTCTGGGCCCAGGAGAGAGCTATTTCCGGAGAAGCAGGTCACTCTGTCAGAGCTCCAGGCTGACGCCGCTGTCCTTGCAGCCATCCCAGCCAGGCTGGCGGCTTCTGAGAGCTCTGTACGCGCACCCTCACCAGCAAGCCACCCCCGCAAGCCCGCCCCGCCCCAGACCGGGCTGCAGCCCTGCAGGACCACAGGAGCACGTAGAGAGAACTGGACCACCGTCCTCTGGACCTCACAATCCAAGCCCGTGTCACCGTCAGTCACCCACCACCACCCCAGGAAGCCCGCCACCACCGGGCCAGCACACTACAGAGCCATCACTGTATTGGGGCCACCCCGCTAGTAATCGGGAAGAGAATTTAACTTCCGAGTGGGTAGATGTGGAAAGCAAGGGAAGAGGTCGCCAACGGCTCGTTACTATGGATCTGGTCCCAGAACCCTCCCAACTTGGTATTCAGAGCATTTTCCTGAAAGCAAGATCTCCCTTTGTATGTTGAGGGGGAAACTGAGGCATATATGGGCTAAGCCTGCTTTCCTTAACCTGGACCCTACTCCTTTCCACCAACTTGTAATTCCAAAGCTTTCTCCTTCCTCCAGAAAACAGTAAGGTAGGGTTAGAATGCAAAGCAGCGCCGTTCCATTCAAGGGCCTGTGTAGGGCCACCGGTGGGAATTGGGGCAATCGCTCCGCGGAGAGGCCCTGCCAAGGGCGTCCGGGCGGCCCCTGCGAGGGCGTGGGTGCAACACGGCCACGGCAGGGCTGAGGGGGGCGGGGGTCCCTTCCCCCGCAGGGCAGGCTGCCCGGGAGGCGGACACAGCATCAGGAGAGAGGCGGGAGGCGCGGAGTGAAGTGGAGTCAGTGTGGAAATGCCCAAGTGGCTGCCACCCCAGGGGCAAGGCAGAAGTGGGCTTGAGGGGAGGGAAAACAGGGCCCAAAATAACTGCCGTGCTCACAGGCCGGGCGGCCGGCCATGTACCCGGAGGGCCGCCCGCACCTGCCCCTGCCTGTCCTGCTGCCGCCTGGCTCCCAGGGTGCTTGTCGAGGGCCCTGGGGTCCCGCAGGTTTCGTGGCCCGATAGCGCCCCCGGCCTGACCCTGGAGCACCTGGAATTAGAGCACACTGCGTGGGAGCCCTGCGTGCGCACACCCCGCACCCCCGCCCCAGGAGAGGCAGGGGGACGTGTTCCTTCCCGGGTCACAGAAACTGCCACCGCTGTCACCTTGGGTGGCACCCGAGCCCCTCGGGCCTGGGCTCTTTCCCTGGCTGCCGTGGGCGGCGCTGGCTGTCTGTCTGAGATCCACGTCATCAGCCTTCCCAACCCCCCACCGCCCATCCCCTCTTCCTTAAGCTCCCTCCTCCAGCGGGCAGAGAGAAGCAGGGGGTTTCGGGCATAGCGGTTCTCTCGGCAGCTCTGTTTCTCTGCGTGAGCTCCTAAGCCTCCGTGAACCTCAGTTTCCTCGTCTGTAAAACAGAGATGACGATTGCTCCCTGCCAGAATCAGCGGAGGACAGGAGACCGTCGTGCGGGAGCGTCCACCTCGCCGGGCCCCTCCCGACGCTCAGGGGGTGACAGCCTTTCCGCACCACGTGCTCTGGTTCTCGCGGAGCTGTGGTCCGAGGCCTTGTCTGGGGGCAGCTCACAGGCCTGGGCTCTGTCCGGCCCACCTCTAACCCAACCAGACACTCCTTGCCCCAGAGCCTGCTCCTCCGAGGGGTCTCTGTCTTGGCCAATGGCACTGAGTTGCCCAGCGGGGACACCCGGGGTCTTTCTGGACCCCTCCCGCTGCTCTGCCCTGGGTACCTCCACCCACCCAGCCCAGGCCTTTCCGCACCCTAACATTTGCTGGATCCGCCTGCACTCTGCACCGGCCGGCCTGTCCCCCAAACTCGCAAGCCTGTGTCCCCACGCCTCCCCGGCCTGCACGACCCCCTGACAGCCCCCGGCTCTCCCGCTGCCCCAGTCCCGGCACCCCTGCCCACAGCGGCCCCTCTGCCTGTGTCCCCAGGTCCATCACCCAGCAGACCTGTCAACTGCCCAGATCCCTCTGAGCCCCCAGGGCGAGCTCCCCCCGTGTGTCCCGCAGTCCCGGTACCACTGTGCTGCTCCCCACCACCCTCCGCCAAACTACAGCCCCCAAAGACCACGAGCGGGGGCCCCAAGAGCAGGGGTCCCCCTGGTTTCTCTGCCACAGGACGGAAGAGGTGACATTCCCCCAACGGCAATGGGAGCTGGGCGGGGGCCAGGGGCACCCGCGGGCAGCTTCCTGAGTCTCTGATGGTGGTGGCTAAGGGGGGGACTCCCCCAGCCCACCAGGCAATGATGCTCAGCCTGGGCACGGCTCCCCTTCCACCTCCGAAGATCTCTGGGGCTCAGGGCTTTCACCCTTGCTGTTCCCTCTGCCTGGAAGGTCCTTCCCAGACAGCCCCACGGCTGCTGTCTCCTTTCTTTAGGACCCCAACCCCAAAGTTGCCAGAGGCCCTCCGGACCCCTCCTCCCCCCCGCAGCTGTATTCTTCCCCTGCTTGGGTTCTTTGTCAGAAGCTGTCACTGCTTGCCGTGCTCTGTTTCTCTCCTTCCTTTGACTGTCCCCCCCGACCTGAATGTACAGTCTAGAGCCTTTGCTGTGTCACCGGCGTCTAGAACCACGCCAGCCACGTTGGGTGTCTGATGCGTCAGTGTCCCTGGCGCTGACCCACTGTCATCACCCTGGGATGAGCGACGTAGAGGCTCTGAGAAGCAGCATTTGGGAGCCATCAGAGCGACGTGCCGCACCCTCCAAGCACGTGGGTGGATCACAGACCAACGTGGGCTGTGAGTCCCACACGGCACAGGCTGTGACACGGTCCCACGTAGGAGGACAGCTGGTCAGCCCACGGCTGGATGAGATTTAACAGCAACAAAGCGGTTCTTCCTCACTGATTTTCTGTGGAGCTCTGCTCTGGGGCACACAGTACTGCCTGGTGCACAGTAGGTGCTCCAGAAGTGTTTGTTGAATGAATACACAACAGAAAATTTAACCTCTGCTGCCACATACCTCAAAAGCAGGTGTGGCCTCACGATCTCTATTCCCGAGAAGGGACGCTAGACCCCAGGCTCTGGATCCAGAGCAGGGAAGACGTGCCTGCTCCGGCCCCCCCCACCCCGACCTCGAGGGAGGACCATAAACCTGTCTGTCTCTGAGGCGAGGGCTCCGATACCAGCTCCCTAGAAGGAAGGACCTTAATTACCAAACGTCCCTCCACAGACAGGCCTCTCACTGGGCCCCTGGGGCCACGCTTGGCCGGAGGTGGCCCTGGATCGTGACCCTGACCCACAGGCCTTGCACCTGCTTCTGGCGGCGCTGGAGCCGGACCCTCCCAAAGTCCTGGGCTGAAAACAGCAGGGCTCAGGCTGCATCCGCCCCGCTCACTGCCTCGATTTTCGGGCTGAGTCCTCTCTCTCCAAGGGTCAGCCACCCTGTTCCGACTGCTCACCCACCCTGGCAGGCCCCGGGCTCTGTGGGGAGCGGGTGGCAGTGGGCTGGGCTCCCTCCAGGGGCCCTGCTCGGCCTCAGTCTCCCTGTCTGACTGCAGAGGGGCCGCACTCCTGCCCTGGGCACTGGGACTTGCCCGACAGCTGGCCTGGGCACCAGCCTCCCAGCCCCCCGCAGCCCCTTGGAGGGCTCTGGGATCTGCAGCGTCCACAGAAAACCCTAACAGGCTGGTCGGGGCAGGGCTGCAGAGAAGCCACAGGCAGCTGTGGTCACGGGTCCTGGGAAGGCGGCCGGCCCATCCCAGGGCTGAGGTTCCTTCCTTAGGGTCAAGGCACTGTGACCTGTTAGGACACAAATCTTACTGGCGGGGGAGGGGAGTGGCATTCCACTCTATTTTTTAACTCTTTAAGGCACGTCTGCTTCAATGAGCCAAAGTGGGTTTGTTTGAGGGTCGGGGAGCTGGTGCCTGTAGGGGGGTGGCCCGTGGTGGTCCCCGGAGCCAGCGCTCGGAGCAGGCTGGCAGGCACTGCTGCCATGAGAGGCTTTTACAAGTCAGTGACTGTTTCCCTCCTGGAGTCATCCCCTGTCTCGCCCCTTAAGCAGATGCTGGGCCCTGTGCCTCAGGAGAGGTTTGGAGGCAGGTCCCAGATGGTGGTTTCCTGAGGCCCGACCCTGGTGTGGGAGGCATGGTGGCGGCATCTCCCCAGCAAAACAGAGACTCACCCCAGGGTTTGGAGGTTCAAGGGTAGATCGACATTGGGCCTGCTTCCTCAGAGCACCCTGAAGATGTGGCTG